AAAATCAAAACAATCCTCAAATAAAAGAACAGTAATCAAGGACAGTAAATTAATGAAATAAACTTTTTTTTTTAAATCAATATGCAAATTAGTTAAACCTGAAAAGTGATATTGTGCTTTGAGAGCGTAAACACCACCTTGGATGGGTATACACATTCGGATACTTGTCGGTCACAGGGATCAGTCCCTGTGCTGGTAATATCTCTATCTATAAAGGCAGGATGAGTGTGTGTGTAACGAATGCAAGGCCGCAATTTTCGATGGATTTGTACCAAATTTGTACCTTTGCATTTCTCAACTCCCATCGATAGTGGAAATAATCGATTTTTCATGCTTCTACGGCACTTTTCATGTAGTTTGCGGACATTTTCTACTGGTCAGAGTGAGAGCCTATAGCTGGCTGCCACAAATAGGCAGGAAGATTCTATTGGCCAGCGTGAGAGCCAACAGCTGACTGACACGAATGCTAACTAGCATGCAAAAACCTCGATAGCTGTATTCGTCACAAGTGGGAAAAATTTTAATCTGCATGGCACTTTACTCCAATTGGCTGATTCGCTTGCTTAAACTCAACGTTGATTCTGATTCCGCAGAACTGGGTTGGGTGTGAAAAAGTATTTGTTGTTAACATTCTTTTTGCATTCAGTTTTTCCAGTTACGAGTCCTTTTTTAAAGCTGATAGTTTTGTGTTCATTTTGTTTAGTTCTTTTTTCATAACAGATTTAATGTTTAGTATAGAGCTTAGAAAAAATTCGCAGTGTGAGATAGGCAAGAAGTAAGGCATATAGCAACATCAGCACGGCAAAGGGCTCTCCTTTAAAGGCAAGGAAGGGCAAAAATATTTTAAGTCAAGTGATAGCGATTGCTGTATGAGTCATACGATTTTTGAATCAAGCACGGGCAATGCCAGGCCATGCTGCTCGTCACAGCTATGACTAGCTTGGATCAGTTCTGACAAGCTTGGACAATCTATAACCAGCTAAGACTTGCGGCCCAAGTTAAAACACTTGGATCCCCACTTTAAAAACCGACCTTGTGTCACAACCTGATTCATTGGGGAGTCAAGTAAATACAAACCCCTCCCCGGAGTGGTGTACACATTCGGCTACTTGTCAGTCACAGAGATCCATCCCTGTGCTAGTAGTATCACAGCTATGACCAGCTTGGACAAGCTCTGACCAGCGTCCTGAGTGAAGACACTCAGGTCCCCATGTTAAAAACCGACCTTGTGTCACCTTATTCATTGGGGAGTCAAGTAAATCAACCGCTCCCTCGAGGGGTTTGTAACATATCTATATATCATCTCTCAGAGTTGTAACTGAGGAAAATTATACTGAGAGGTGCCCAGCCCTGGGGAACTGCTGCTCGAGGCCGCACCCGCTCATGGCACAAGAGAGAGGGATCGGTGCTCGCAGCGTGTCCAGCGCAACCGACAGTTGCGGGGACTGTGGGCAGTTTTTGTTCCTTGTCAGATTGTACGCGATCGCGTCACCACCTTAAAAAGACCTTGTGTGGCATCTCGTCCTAGTGTGGGGAACGAGTAAATACCGTGTGTAAACCCCTCCATCGAAGAGTTTTGTAACACATCTATTTATCATCTCTCAGTTGCGTCTCTGTCTTTGGGCAGAGTGCACTCAGGAACGACTCGGTCAAAGAACAGAGTCGCACCTGAGGAAAATTATACTGAGAGGTGCCCAGCCGAGGGAAACAGCTGCCCGAGACCACGCCATCTTATTGCACCAGGGAGAGGGATCGGTGCTCGCAGAATAATTATCGTTGAACTTTTAAAAGGTAAGCTTAAACATTTATTCAACACTTAAATGCAGCGATCAATTTTGAGTTCTTCTGTAGTTTATTGATGCCTATCGTATCTACTCCTCCCCAGCTATTGTGATGATGGCCAAACCAAGAGTCCTCCGCAGAGGCTAACTTAAATGACGCCCGATATTGCGGCTTTTAAGCGAGGTTAAAATTTTAAGCTAACTGCAATTTTAGATACAAAAGAAAAATAAGAGTTGGACCATGAAATCAGCGATAATGGCTAGTATAATATATTAATATATATTTTTAACCTCGCATAATCTGACAACCCTGAATCTGAGCTCAACGAAAATCGTTTCCTGCGCCTAACTTTTCTAGGGCTTTTGAATTGAAATCGCACCAGTTTGGACGCAAACACGCACGAACACACATATACACTGTACTTTATATATAAGATGTGTAAGATTTCAGATAGAGTGTGTCTTTAAAAGATCAATATGAATAGAACTTTTCGGCTAATTCATGAGCGTTCTTTAATTTTAAAATTTTCAGAAAACCAATTTGATTTTATTGATTTGTTTGTTTAACGGCATAGCGACTTCTTATGGGTCATTTTCTTTGGCGCTTTGAAGAAATGACAATATTATATATCTCATTATCTTTCACAGTTGAAGACGTGCTACATGATATTCAGCTTCTGGGTATATCCATGTTTGTGTGGACATAATTACTACAGGCGGTAATATGCACCTGTTTCATGTTGTAGTTTTAATGAAATTATATTCTAGAATACCGTTTGATTTAAAGAAATTGTAGGATTTATGGACTAATGTCTTGAAAGTCTTTTCATGTTGGTTATTGTTTTGTTTTTCTTTCTTCCTTTTTTTTGTGGCATATTAACACCTCTATGGGTTATTTAATACCGAAATCTAAATATTTTCTAGGTAATTTTATACAGCTGTATTGCACATAATTGTATACTTTCAGAGAAAAGCTATTTTTTTAGATATATATTTTGTAGTTCATAAAATTTATTGTTGGTAATTTTACAATAAAAATGTATTTTTATATACTCTTAATGTTGCATTTTCATTTTGCTATTTAATGGATTGTTGGTTATTATATTATAAAAATTATAAAATTTACCGTTGATTTTTGTTTGAGGATTCACTATTTGTCCATAGTTGGGACCCTAACAGGTGCTACCATAACTGGACAAGATGGACCTGGGAACGACAGCAGTTAAAAGACAATTCCACGCCCCAAAATGCCTCTAATCTCCCAATTAAAAGCCTTGCTGTTGGGTGTAGTTTATCATCATACCCAGGACGAGAAAAAACAATAATATTTTTGCTTTTATATATAAATACTAGTTGCAAAATAGAATCCTTGCATTTGCCTTGATAAAGTCCCTCAGAGGACGAAATAGTGTCGACTGGGATAACTTTCCTTTTGTCTTTAATCATATATTTGTATTTGTATTTTAGTATTATCCGTAACTCTGCACATAAGCTCAATGAACGTGAAAGCAATTTTTGTAATCAGTGATAGAAGCCATTTATCCCAGAAGAACGCAGATTGATCCATGTCAAAGTAGATTTCTTTTTTAATGTCATTAAGGATTTGAGAATCGGCACCTTTCCGAATTGTCAAAGCTGTGAAGATCTGGACTGTTGGAATAAAAGACTATCACTCGCCAGGACATTTGGCATTAAATAGTGTTAAAATAGCGAGAAGCTTGCACCTTTTCGTCCGTGGGAAAGAGGTGAAAATAGTTAATCACCCACAAGGCCGCGGAAACTGGAATGCGGGGGCTAGACAGATCCAGGCCAGTTATGAAAGCTGTATTTCGCCTATATGTCCTTAATCGGTTACTTGTTTGATATTCCGTAGTTCTGAGATTCTGTTTTCTCCGACTTGAAGAACAAATATATTTTTACGGTCTATCGACCTATTTAAGCTTTAAAATTCTGGAGGTGTTTGCAAAGCAAAAATTTATCCTGCCCCTGCCAGGGACTCAGATGAATGAATGATAGTGTTGCAGAATAGCTAGCAGCCCTTCAGCACTGCAGTAGAGGTTTATGCCTTCTTTTCTGTTTATGGAGTGAGTTTCCAGTTCCTTCTTATTGTAGAGTAGCCAGCACGCCTTCAGCACTCTACCAACTGGCCTGGCTCATAGCCTTAAATAGACTACGATTAAGGTCTTCTACAGTTTATTAATAAGTTGATACTAAGCTGATTAATATTCGGGCTGATCTTGCTTCGTTTTGCTATACAGCATTTGACCCTCCTCTATTCCTTGTAAGTTGTCTTGTTAATTGTTTTGAACGTATTGTTCTGTGTTTTTTGTATGTATCCGTTAGCATCGGATACTGGTGCTGAATAAATATATTAAGCACTCTTTCTTTTGTGTATCATTCACCTTGACAATACAACACTTCTAAAGTCTACTTTAACTCTATACATCTAACATCTCCGACTGAGGTATGAAATTTTATTCACTAATTATTTTTTTCTTTTCTCCCAATAGGAGTTGATATGTTTTCCTATTGCCCCATTCACACAACACCCTAGATTTTTTTTAACTGCAGTAGAGGTTTATCCCTTCTTTTCTCTTTAAGGAGTGAGTTTCCAGTTCCTTCTTATTGTAGAGTAGCTAGCACCTCTTCAGCATTCTACCAGCTGACCTGGCTCATAGCCTTAAATAGACTACGATTAAGGTCTTCTACAGTTTATTAATAAGTTGATACTAAGCTGATTAATATTCGGACTGATCTTACTTCCTTTGTCTTGTTAATTGTTTTGTAACTTATTGTTCTGCGTTTTTAGTATGTATCCGTTAGCACGGGATCCCGGTGCTGAATAAATATATTAAGCACTCATTCTTCTCTGTGTATCATTCACCTCGACGATACAACAGATAGGGTGTTTGTATTTTGCAGTTGTGTTGTCATATCCTGTTGTGGCAACTGAAAATGATCATGACTGAAATTAAATAGGACCTTCAAAAACAATGCATTGGAAGCGAATGTAGTGAATAATGCATTGTGTTAAAGGTTAAGGTTATTTAAAGCCGAAATATATTTTTGCAACAGAAGAATTTTTGGAGGTAATAATTTTCTGATAAAAGTCTTACTATTTAACCTTGAGATGGGAGTAGAACCCCGACTGGAATTTGAACCCGGCTCTCCGATTCAAAATTCCGAGCCCGTATCCAATACATCACAAGCACATTACTGCTTACAGCATCTGGTATTCCCAAACGGTCACCCATCTAGGTACTGACCAGGTCCAACGTTGCTTAACTTAGCTGGTCACAGGAGAACCGGTGTTTTAATATGATATGGCCATAAAGCCTTCGGACAGTTTGGTGTGGTGGAGGATTGTCTCACTACGTCAATTACGACTGAGTAGCGAGTTCGAACCTGACTGGGAACCCCAAACTTTCGGCCGTGCGCCGCATCTGAGCTGCTCTTGGAAAATCACCATGGCCTTAAAACCTTGAAGAAAATGTTGGAAATGTTTGATATCTTCATCTTTTCTGATTAAAAAAAAAAGTACTTAATTATTCGTCGTTAAAAAGAAACCAAGAAAAAGATGTTATGAAGTTCCTAGTCTCAAGATAAGAAACTTAAATAATAATCAGTAGAAGACAAAAGATATTAAAACTGGCTTTGTCTCAAATTGCGTACAGCGTAGTGTAGGACCCAACCCCGTGTGTGATATGCGGACTTGGAATTGAAAAAAAAAATGAAAGAAAATAATCACAAATTTGCGGTGAAGGTGATCGAGAGAGACAGTGTGTTGGGAGTGAATTCAAACTGCGTTTGTTGACAAGACAAACAGAAAGAAATATACACGGAGACACACAGCGATACACAAATCAAAGATGCTTCTGTAAGGCTTCTAAGACTCTCTTGAATATTCATGATTCAACCCACACTCTGTGATTTCTATTTTTTCTCGTGAGTCTTAATAACCTTACAAAACTGTTGTTAGCAAAACGAAGTTATAAATCTTGCACACACACACGCACACACACACAAATGTAATGGATGTATGCGGAGAGGTTTAGTAAGTTTCTTATATCTTTTTAAGATAAACTTTACAAATGTTGCTCTACGGACAAGCTATTGAACACTTTGAGAAATGTTTCATTGCAAATAGAGATGTTTTTAAATTTGATGGTATTAATTTTAAGATTCATATATATATATATATATATATGGACGGGATATGAAATTAGCTAAAGTAAGTTCAATGAAGAAATAAATTGAATAACATATTTCTTCTTTTCTCCTCAATAATTTTATAGTTGTAAACTTAATAGCGATTAACTTTTGATTTTGAAATTAGCAGTTTTTAAATTTAATATTAAATTTTATCATATAATTTAGTAATTATTGGTTGGAATAAATTCTTTTTTAATACTACCTATATTTTAAACATCTGAATAGATATTATAACATGACTTCGTTGTCAAGCTTTTTGAATTTTCCTATACTTGTATTTTGATTGGTCAATCTAGCTTTTGTAACAACGTTTTCCCCTTGTGAAGGATTGTTAATTTGAAACTTTTAAAACCATTTATTTTACACTCAACATCATCACTTGATAAGACAATTTGAAGGTGTTGAAACAAAATGGCTATTTTTGTAGTGATTTTATAACATATTTATGTTATAAATTTTTTTAAATAAATAATTATATATATATATATATATATATATATATATATATATATATATAAAAAAATAAACGATGGTTGAAACTTGCAAATGCTAATATTATTGAGTTGATAACGCTTATATATATATATATATATATATATATATATATATATATATATATCTATATATATATCATGTATATATCATATATCATTTTTTTTTCTCCTGATGATAGCCATACTGACCAAAATAGCCAGGAACCTAATTTAAATAATAAAATAAAAATATTAAGGTTAAACACAATCTATGTGAAATTTTAATTTTTTAATTTTCAATACACACACACACAAACATATATATATATATATATATATATATATATATATATATATATATATATATATATTCGAAAATTATAATATAAATATGTTATAAAATCACTACAAAAATAGCCATTTTGTTTCAACACATCTGGTGTCTTATCAAGTGATGTGTTGAATGTAGAATAAAGCTTATAAAGGTTTTGTTCTACATTCAACACCATCATTTGATATGACACCAGAAACGTTGAAACAAAATGTATATTTTTGTAGTGATTTTATAACATATTATGTTATAATTTTCGAATGTATTATATTTGCTCTAAACTGTATTGCGCACTCTTTTAAGAATAGTATTTTTTGGGTTTTTAGAATTTATTACGTATACACCAATCCTATACTTGGATATATATATATATATATATATATATATATATATATATATATATATATATTGAACAATAAAAAATATTAAAAAATTAAAATCTTCAGACCTACTGGGTTGTAGATTAATATTCTTTCGATTTTTTATTATTATTTCATTTAGATTCCTCGACTAGTTTCGGCCAAAATGGCCATCATCAGGAGAAGAAATATTTCTGCTTGCTGGTAGCAGTAAACTACAGAAATGAATGTCTTGCGGGAGAAATATATATAACGATTACCTTTTGAAAAAGCGTTGGCTAAAAGGACCCTAAAAGGTACAATAATGACGCCTGTTTTATTCAATATGTTCTAATTCTCTGGCTACAATTCTCTGTTTATATATATATATATATATATATATATATATATATATATATAATAAATTTGCAAATTAAAAAAATAATAATATTCTTTTATGAAAGTATTTATTTGTATATATATTTGATATTTCAGATTGGTCTCAATCTTTCTTCAGAAATAACTGTTTGTTTACAAGTAGCGTCCGTCGCGAGATGCGGACGTCACGTGATATGGAACGAATATTCCTAACGTAAATCTAACTGTAATAATATCTTAGATGTTGTTTAAAAAATTAAAAAAATAAAATAACAAATAAAAAAAAATTAACTATATCTAAAAAATGTTTAACTATTGAAATATTTATAAAGATTTAAAATACCAAAGTCTTTATTTAACCCTAGTTTATATGTATTTAATTTTTAAAATCCAGTATTTTTCTTTTTTTTTCTTTTTTTTTTTGCGTGTGTATGTGGAACTGAAATCAGAATCTATCAATAAACATTTACAGTTTTCTAATGAGTGTCCTGATTGATTAAAGTGTTCAGCTATGGGGGAATAAGGATTGTTTTGACGTATGGTTTGTTTATGATTGTTGTATAAATACGTGGCTTCTCATTATGCTATATATATATATATATATATATATATATATATATATATGATTATTTATTCGAAAATTATAACATAAATATGTTATAAAATCACTACAAAATAGCCATTTTCTTTCAACACTTCTGGTGTCTTATCAAGTGATGTTGTTGAATGTATAATAAAGTGTTTTAAAAGGATCAAATCAATCAAACACCCCTCGCAAGGGGAAACGCTGTTACATAAGCTGGAATGACCAATCAAAATACAAATATACGAGAATTCAAAAAACTTGACAACGAACTAAGGTTATGATAATTTTTTGATGCTACATCCATGACTCTTAAAAAACACACACACGCAACATACATACACAATGAAAGGTACACACAAGTGACCATACACACAGACACCGATAAAGACCCGTACATACACACACATACATTGACACAGACACGCCGATACAATAATTAATTATATTTGCTCTACTCTGTATTGAGAACTCTTTTAAGAATAGTATTTATTGGTTATTGAAATCTATTCTGTATACACCAATCCTATACTTGTATATATATATATATATATATATATATATATATATATATATATAAATAGTTTTAAAAACTAGGAAACCATTGATTTTAATATTAAAAGTCTCTAGAGCCCTTTATAAATTCTTTCTGCCGGCAGAGAGAAGGTTTTCTAAATCCTATACAGACCGATTCCAAAATCTTCAAATTATAAGGTCTCTGAATCTGTTGGGGATATTTTATTTTAACTGTCCTCGCTATTTATTTACACGATAACCTTTCCTCGTTACAAGTATATATACTTGTTCGTTATTTTAGTGTGTTTCCCCCTTTTTTGCTCTTCAATATCGCTATTATTCATTTCGCTAATCCAACGATTGTCTCCTGATGAGATGTTGGCTGAAAGGGCTCTAGAGACTTTTAATATTAAAATCAATGGTTTTAGTTTTTAAAACTATTTATAAATTTTGTACCTCCAAATATTTGTTTAAATATTTATTATATATATATATATATATATATATTTTTATGAATACATTTGCGGAGCCGACTACATAGGGAGAACAACTCAACACTTAGACACGAGAATAAAACAACACGTTCCTACAAAAATTAGAAATCATACCTTGCCATTGAATGGACTCGTCCCGAACGCCTATGGTTCCGCCATATGCGAACACCTATTAAAGAGCAGAGATTGTGCAGCCAAATTTAGTGTCGACTGGTTCAGTCTGAAGTCGGACGACCGGCTGATCGGTTGATCGGTTGAACTCTCTGCCTTCGGGCGGGGAGGAACCCGAACGAGTCTACGCCGAAGGGCGGAGTCTCTTTCGGGGAGATAAAAAACCGACCCTGAACCCGTTTATACGGTTCAAAGGGCATATTTTTGTCCGAGCTCACGGGCTCGGAGATCCCACGTTAAACCGGCCATGTGCCACATGATGCCCTTGTGGTGGAGTGACTAAATACTAGTGTCGACTGGTTCACCGGGTTGTCCCGGTCACACTCTTTATTTCATCTTAAGGTTCTGGAGCCACTTTACATCAGGTCCCGCAAGCCTTCTTTGTGTTTGTTGGAGATCGCTGTCATTTGTCTCTAGTTCTTTTTTGCTGATTTTTTTCTCTCCTCACTTCCACAACTTCCATTTTATTGTACATTTTCTATTGTTTTAATTTAAATTAAATCTCCCGTTGAAGCCTGAAGAGCGGGTGCGAAACCGGTTGCTTCGCCCGTTTTTTAATATATCTAGTAATATTAAGTTTTACACTTTTATTTCTGTCATATATATATATATATATATATATATATATATATGTATGAACTTTTCACCCCATGCAAGGCGGGAGTGCCATTAGCAAGCAAGGGGTTACAGAAAGTGGGAGAAAGAGTAAAGAGGCGTGAAAGAGGAAAGGATAACTAGGAGGAGGGGGGGAAATGGATCAAGTCAGTTGGAGATGTCGATTGACATTGCATTTGAATAGTTGGAGATTATAGCTATCATGGAAACGAGTAAGAGGA